TCATCAAAATTCCATTGCACTCCTCACTGCGGGAACCCAGGGTGGTAAGCTGCTTCCAGAAGCAACTATGGATTGGAGCAGTGACAGGCACTGGAGCAAAACAGCACTTGGAGTGAGACAAATCTGGGCAGTGACATGTGACTGTGAGTGGCTTTGCTGGCAAAGAAAAACCAGTTTTTATCTCTGCAAAGAACCTGTTGACTGTGGAACCTGGGACTATCTGGCTACAGAAAGCTCATTGGGCTACTGCCATCTCCAGAGAACCTCCCAAACCAGCCCGCTATGGAAGCAGTAAGGGAAATGTGGTAGTTGGAATGAAAACGCATGCTCACAGGGAGTGGCAGTATTAGGAGGTGTGACCTTGTTGGAATAGTGTGGTCTTATTGGAGGAAGTGTGTCACTGGGGCAGGCTTTGAGGTTTCAGAAGCCTGTGGCAGGCTCATGGCGGTGTCACTCTCTCTTCCTGCCTATCTGGATGTAGAACTCTTGGCTCCTCTCCAGCACTGTGTCTGCCTGCATGCTGCCATGCTTCCCACCATGATGACAATGGACTAAACCTCTGAACTGTAAGCCAGCCCCAATTAAATGTTTTCCTTTATAAGAGTTGTGTGGTCCAGGAAAATAGGAACCCTAAGATGGGAGTGCTGGGAGGTGGGGACATGTAAGCACTGCCCACCTCAGCCCTGGTTTACATCATCTTTCCTTTGGAGAGCTCTAGAAGTGAACACCCACTGTTTTATCCACACCAGTCAAACACAGAGCCAAGCTGACTGCTCCCTTCCAGTAGGCTGAATGTGGACACCAGGCTTTGCCCATCCTGCCTCCCATTCTCCACCATTGCCACACCCTGCAGACTTTAGGCTCTGCCCCTTATAGCTCTCAAGCGCCCCCCCATCTGCCTGCCTCTCTCAGGCACTTGTGACCCCCAAACCAAGACTGGGTATTAATAAAAGATAGACAAAGCTGAATATGCTGGCACACTCCTCTAATCCCAGGACTTGGGAGGCAAAGGCAAGCAGATCTCTGAATTTGAGGACAGCCTGGTCTGTAGAGTGAATTCCAGGATAGCCAACACCTGTCTCAAAAACCCAGAAATCAAAACAAATCAAATGATAAATGGCTCTATAAGCCCCCAAGCTTCTAAACAATGAAAAGCAAAAGCAATTTGATTCCCAAAGACAGGTGCTTCAGGTCACGTTTGAAGTAAAGGATAATTGCCTGCACTGCTGTTTTGTCACACTGCAGCTGCCTATCTGTGCAAATACTGCGTCTGCTCCAGAGTCGGTGCCAATTGCAGATTAAATGAACACCTCATGGCCAAGATTCCCAAGGCAAGATGATAAATTTGTCTCCACAACTTTACAAAGCAAAATGCTTCTTGGCGTGCTGTTGCCGAATGAAGAATGGGTTATAGAAATGCCAAAATTCAAACCCCACAGGAGTCCCACTCTCCTGTTGCTGTGCGCACTAGGAGATGCCTTGCTACCCACAGCACTGACCTCCTGATGTGACAGTTCTCACTCCTGCCATCCGGCACACACTCACCCCACACTACCACCATCACCACCTCCTCTCCTGGACACTGACATTGACCCAAAATTTCCTGCCGTAATGTTAAGGGCACCCCTGAAACTCTAGCTTATCCCCTGGCGAAGCAGGTAATGCCTGGCAGTCCGTATTCCACAACCTGCTAAAGCTCAGAGCCATCTAGGTGACAGTGCCCGATACAGGACCCCCTGGACTCTTGGGAGACCACGGTGTACCTGCCCACTGTGGCCTGGGAGAGGCACTTTGTGTATCAGCTACTGGAGGGGACAGCCATTCCAGGAAGGGGCCTGCCTGGCTGTGCTCACCCCAAACCAGGCAGAGCAGGCTCTGCAAAGATAGCCTCTGGCAGTGGTATCCTGCAGGCCTGTAGCTACTGAGGACAGCCAGGAGAGGGTCAACAGGACCTGGGGAGAAGGGGAGGTGTTGTGAAGGAACCTGCTTAGTAATCTTAGATGTGACTAAGCTAACCTTTTCTGAGTACTGCTCTCAGGATTTTGTCTTTTCTGGACCATACCATCACCCCAGCTGCCCATCAGAATCCCAGGGTGCAGGGCACTTCCCATGATAGGAGTACACAGTGAAGGCTTGAGAGCTGTTGCTCAGCCAGGGTTTAACCAAGAATCCTGCCTTGGGGAGCCTTTCTTTGTCGGTGCTGGAAAGCCACAAGTTCAGTGATGCCCCAGAACCCATCAGCACAGGGGTGCAAGAGTATCCTTCACCTGCCTCCCTAGCCCTCCACAGAACAACGCAGTTCACTTGATACTGGCCAGAGTTTTTACACTATAGTAACTGACAAGCACCATATCTGAGGAAGTTCTCTCCCTACAAAGCCAGCCATTGTCAGTACATCATACCCCACAGATCAGCAGTGGCTTCAGCCTGGGTGCCCCTGTATGCTCATGCTCTGTTAGTGATGCTTGCACTACTGTAGAAAGAGACCGGGACAATGCTAGGAGAGAAAACGGGCCAAAACGGCACCTGTATGGTGGCTTGCCAGGCACCGTGCTCTGTACTGTGACAAATAATTCACTCACTACGCACAAGGACCACGGAGCTCAAAAGTCAGGTCACCCAGCTGCCCTGATACACAGAGAAGAAAACCTGCCTCAGGGTCACATAGCGGTGGCATAGCAGGCCTTGCTGGACAGTCAGGGCAGAACCTACTCCTAACCCCGAGGGGGAACCCAATGGGCCACCCCCACCAAGTCTTCTCACTAGCCTGGAACTCCCCAAGTAAGTCAGGCTGGCTGGCCAGCAAGACTCAGGGACCCCGCTGTCTCTGCCTCCCCAGCACGGGGATAACAGGCATGTATTTATTACCATATGGGTCTTAAGGGATCAAGTTCAGATCTGCAAGCTTGTGCAGTAAGCCCTTTCCTGACAGAGCCCTGAATTGGGATTCTAGATTGCCATCCGAACCTTGCCTGTCCAGAGAAAACTAAGAGAGGAAGATGGTCTCTGGGGAAGGTGGTTAACCTAACAGACTTGGGCTGGCTAGTTTTACGTCAACTCGACACAAGCTAGAGTCCTCTGAGAGGAGGGAGCCTCAGCTCAGAAGATGCCTCCACAAGCTTGGGCTGTAGCCAAGCCTGTAGGACTTTTTCTTAATTAGTGATTGATGGGGGAGGGACCAGCCCATTGAGCGTGAGGATATCCCCTACCTGAAACTGGTGGTCCTGGGCTCTATAAGAAAGCAGGCTGAGCAAGTCATGAGAGAGAAGTCAACAAATGAACTCCTCCACGGCCTCTGGGCTGGCTGGTAATGGCACACACCTTTAATCCCAGCACTTGGGAGACAGAGGCATTCGGATCTCTGCGAATTCAAGGCAAGCCTGGTCTACAGAGTGAGTTCCAGGACAGTCAGGAATACACAGAGAAACCCTGTCTCAAAAAACAAACAACAACAAAAGAGTGGCTCTCCATGGCCTCTGCATCAGTTCCGGCCTCCAGGCTCCTTCCCTGTTTGAGTTTCTGCCTTGGTTTCCTTCAGTGTACTGTTACTCGGAATATGATAAGTTAAATACGCCCTTTCCTCCCCAGGTGTCTTTGGTCGTGGTGTTATAACACAGCAATAGTAACCCTGACTAAGACAGGACTAAACCAGATAGAGAACAGAAAGCCCGCTCCAAGGAGAGAGAATTCTGGAGCCTGGCTGAGAGGAGCTAGAGACCTGGAGAGTCAGAAAAGGGACAGGGCCTCGGCAGCCCTCATAAAGATGCTAGGTCTCTGCCTTGGGCCCCAGCAGCGACCCTGGTGCAGGCTGCAGGGAGGGGCAGTGGGAAGGTAGAAACAGGCGGGAGTCTCCAGTTCTTCCTGCCCCCCCCAACCAGACAGGGTTTCTCTGTGGCTTTGGGGGCTGTCCTGGAACTAGCTCTTGTAGACCAGGCTGGTCTGGAACTCACAGAGATCCGCCTGCCTCTGCCTCTGCTGGAATTAAAGGTGTGCGCCACCACCATCCGATTGAGTCTCCAGTTCTTGCCCTGCCATAGGCCAGGCCCTTCACCATTTCTGCAGAGCCCTGGGGTTCCCCTAATACCCTTTGAGAACCATGGCCCCTGCCAGCTTCTCTCTCCTGCTTTGGTTCCTCCACCCCTCTGCCAGGCCACAGGTGAGAACTGAGGACAGCCAGGCTCTGATTCCCCCTTGCTCCTGGACCCCCACATCAGATCCTGTCTGAATTCAGTGGTGGTCCTAACCCGGTACAGCTGTTAATTAGTGTGGTGACCTTGAACAAGCCTCTGGGTCCCTCAGAGACAGAATGGAGTTGTGAAGGTCACTTGACTGCAAAACCTTTTAAGAAAATGAAGGACCCAGGGACGGCACGCCCTACATTATTGTGCTTTTGCAATTTTGCTGCTCCCACTGTCCTCATTTGAGGAAACTGAGGCCCAGAGAGGTGAAGTGACTCACCAAGGACACACAGCAAGAAACTTGCGTGTGGTGTCTCCTACCCAGGTCCAAACTCACAGGAGTTTATGGATTTTATATCCTGGGAGCCCTCCCCCCTTACTCCCCTACTCATATACCTTTTACAGATAAGGAAACTGAGTATGAAGGCACTAACCTACCTGCCTAAGGGCACTCAACATTGGAGCTGGAATCTGGCTCCAAGCCTCTGGGTTCCTAACCCGTTATGCCATCTCCCCAATACCCACCCTAGGCTCTGAGGCTGGTCTGGTCTGTCCCAGTCTGCAAACTTCTCTGCAACCCTTCCTGAGGCATCTCCCCAGCTTAGTGTACTGTGAGGTTGCAACAGCCTGGTCCCCAGGTCCCTAGCTGCCCTGGCTCCTCCAGAGCTCAGCTCCTCCTCACAGAGGAGAGAGGACACACACTCTCCTTGCCTCCCCGGCGGTTGGCAGAGCAGCCGCTGCTCCCGCCTGCTGCCTGGCTGATGGAGAGATTAATCCCAAGCCCTTCCCGTCAGCACCTCCACCCCCCCACCCCGCCCTGGGCATGGACTGTGCTGGCTGTCCCCGTGGGACTTGGAGCACCAAGTCCGCCGCTGAGACAGGACAGCTGGCCCAGCTCCCTGCAGCATCCGGACCTTCAGCTCTCAGGAGGAAGGAGGACTCCAGGGTCCTTGAGGAAGGAGGACTCCAGGGTCCTTCTAGAAAGGCACTTTGCACCCCTGCTCTTCTGCAGACTCAGAATGAATAAACGTCTGCTTTAGAGGGGGCCAGAGAAGGACTGGACACTGACTGCCAGGGATGCTATGTTGGTAATTGGTTTTGGTTTGTGATTTTTTTTTTAACCCCCAACTCTCTGACACAAAACTGTCTATCTCCTGGTCACTGAGACATGGGCTCCCCATGCCTGGCAGAGAACTGGCTGGGAACACGCTTCCTAAGACAATCGGTGAGTTGAACTTCGGAGGAACTTGTTTGTCCTGGGGTGGGATGTTCTAGAGCAGTGAGTGGGCTAAACAGCTTGGCAGAAGGGATGTTTGGAGTGAATTGCTTTCCTCGGGTTCTGGAGGAGTTTTGCTGGCCAGCTGTTAGGGAGAGCAAAGACTGCAAAGTCAGATCTGTTCAGTGGAAGGAGATGGAGCAAGATCCCGGCAGAACCCCAGGCCGGGAATCCGAGTCTTGGGTTGCATTCAGATTTGCTGTGTGACCTTGGGTGAGTCCCTTCAGCACTCTAGGTCTTAATGTTTGCTCTGGAGATTGAGGAAGCTTGGAAAGAACTCCTAGATTTCAACACACTCCTCTCTTTGCAGGCTGCACTCCTCCCACTGGCTGTGTGCTGTGAACCAAGTAACGCATGCGAAATAAGAGTGCATTGCAGCGCAAGTGTGAAACTCGGGCCCTGACTGCTCCTCACTGTCCGCCAGAATCCAGCCGGCTCTGGAGCTCAAAGCACTTTAATTTCCACTGGCTCCTGATTGGCGTGCCTCTCTCAATGTAAGGCTATAGGTGCCTGGAGACAGCTCTGGCTGGAATGAATAGCAGAAGAGATGGTCATACAACAGGGAGGGTGAGACATATTACAGAAATAATTTTTTAGGATATGTGAGTGAGCTAAAATCAAAATGCTTGTCTTAAGCGAAGCCCCTAAATATATCTGCTATGCAGAGAGCATCAGAAGGCTCTTCGCTCTGCAGAAAAAAAACCCCAAAAATCTACTACAACCCAGTGAGGGGAGTACCCACTTCAAGGTCACACAGCTAGTGTGGCTGAGGCAAACAAAATGCATGCCCGAGTAAGAAAGAGTTGTCCAAAGTGGGAGGTGCCCTCCATCCTCACAGCGGGGTCCTCTGAATGAGAGAGAAAACCAGGGAGTGAAACTTTCGTGGGGAGCTTTTAAGAGTCAGGTGCCTTGCAAAGCTGTCGTGGTCCCCAGCATTTGGTGGCTGAAACTCATTGAGCCTTACTGAACTGTATTTGCTAAACAGTGGGCAAGATGCTGGGCCTCAGTTTCCCCAGCTGCAAGGGTGAGCTGTGCCTGTCTGCCTCATGGGATGGTTGGCAGGAGTCCATCAAAGGGACTGGGTGCACCGGAGCTCCTAGAAGTGACCACTATGGGTGCTGCTCCCTGAACCAGTCCTGTGCTCAACAGTGTGGGAACGCAGACTTCCCCACTCACACAGACCAAGCAGAGGGTCCAGAGAGACTAAGTCACTCCTCTTGTGGTTCTCTGCAAAGAACACGGCCACACAGGGCCCTGCTGCAGGGTTGGCACAAGCCTCATCATTTAAGAAGAGAGAGGGGAAGCCAAATGCTCAGGACCACACAGTCTGGGGTGGCACAGTTCAGGACCCGTTACTCACATCACCATTCACAAAACGTCTGTGTTAAGGAGACAGAGATGTACATGAAGTACCTCCTTGGTGTAGTGGGCAGCACATCTGTGTCATAGATGTACATGCTTTGACAGGGGTAGGGATGTGTTTAAATGGCACAGCCCAAGCATATAGTAGCCGCCGGATAAACAAGAAGTAAATAGAAGGTTCAGAGATGGCTGAAGCAGCTGCAGCTACAATAAACAAATGCAACAATGTTTGTACTGCTGAGACTCATCTTCCCTTCCTTCTCTTGTTCTTCCCCTGGAGGCAGACAGGTGAGCCCACTGCTTCCGGGACCCACAGTCTGTGGCAATGCCCATGTCTTCCAGAGACCTGCCTCCTGGACACCATCACTTTGGCTCCTGCAGCCCCTTGAGCCAGCTCTGGCCTGGTCCAGAGCCTCCATCAGTCAAGGGCCTTTACTACAGCAGGGCTCGGAAGGTGGGCACTCTGGATGCCTCTCCAGAGGCTGACCTGAAGAAGGAGATCCTGGTGAATGTGGGTGGCCGGCGATATCTGCTGCCCTGGAGCACCCTGGATGCCTTCCCGCTGAGCCGCCTGAGCAGGCTCCGGTTGTGTCGCAGCTATGAAGAGATCACACAGCTCTGTGATGACTATGATGAGAACAACCAGGAGTTCTTCTTTGACAGGAGCCCCAGCGCCTTCGGGGTGATTGTGAGCTTCCTGGCCGCGGGAAAGCTCGTGCTTCTGCGGGAGATGTGCGCATTGTCCTTCCTGGAGGAGCTGAGCTACTGGGGCATCGAGGAAGCCAACCTGGAACGCTGCTGCCTTCGCAAGCTCATGAAGAAGCTGGAGGAGGTGGCCGAGCTGCGCCGGGAGGAGGCTGTGCAACGGCAGCAGCAGCGCCAAGCCTGCCACTCCGAAGTGCATACTTCCCGATGGGCCCGCAGCATGAACCAGCTGCGCGAGATGGTGGAGGACCCCCAGTCAGGGCTGCCTGGCAAAGTCTTTGCCTGCCTCTCCATTCTCTTCGTGGCCACCACAGCTGTTAGTCTGTGTGTGAGCACCATGCCCGACTTCAGGGCTGAGGAGGACAAGGTGAGTGGTTGCCCATCAGGGACCATGGGGCAGCCCAGGGAAATAGGTTTTTTTAGACAGGGTCTGATGTAGCCCAGGTTGGCCTCAACTTGCTCAAGGAGGCCTTAAACCTCTCATCTTTCTGCCTATACTGTGTGAATGCTGGGATTACAGGTGTACACCACCAAACCCTGTTTTATGTAGTACTGGGAATTGAACCCCAGGGCTCTTGCTTGCTAGGCAAGCTCTCTAAACACTGAGCTATAGTGGCAGTCCTTTTTCATTAAGATAGGGTCTCATGCAGCCCAAGTTGGCCTCTCTATCCAGCCAAGGCTAGCCTCAAATTCCTGATCCTCCTGCAACCACCTCCTGAGTGCTAGGATAACAAACATGTGTCACCACACCCAGCTAAATGTCCTCATTTAAATATGTTGAATATGAACACTGTCCTCTATGGATTATATTCATTTTTAGATACCCCAGCCAGGACTGTAACATTTTCATCTTTATTGCAGGGATAGGGGCCCCGAAAATCATTATGTTTTCCTGACTCTGGTATGGAGCCCTGGATATTGACAAAGTCATGTCTGGTTTGGGGTTGCGGGAAGACTCATCACCCACTTTCCAGTTCCTGTGGTAGGGTGGCAAGTACTGGTCCTCACTGCTCCTCAGTTACCTCCTCAGTAAAATGGGAGACATTTCTCTGAAGCAACTGTGTCATGCTAATTATTGGCTGAGAACCCACATCCCTGCATATGAGCCAACCCTATTCCAGATGGAGACTCAACAATGCAACATTTATTTCCTCTGACTCTAAACCGAGGAACAGATTATAGCAGAAATACTTGATCCTTCTTTTTCTGGTTGCCACCTCCCCCAAAGTCTTAGTGTCAATGGAGGAGAACTCGGAGACTGAACTCAGCAGCTCCAACAAGCTAGGCTTGGCCACCTGTGCTCAACAGACTAACTAAACTAGAGTGAAAACAGAGGTGATCAATCAATGTGACCACACTGTGGGAAGAGAGATAGAGGAGTCAGTGGTCCCCAAGCCCATCTTTGGGTTCTGATGTGAAGTGTGCATTTGAATTACATTGTTATTATCATTTTGAAGTGTGTGTGTTCAGGCACACATGCCTCAGCATACATGTGGCCTAAAGGACGTGCATGTGGAGGTCAGATGACAACTTGCAAGAGTCGGTTCTCTCCTTCCACCATGTGGGTCCTGGGTCATCAGGCCTTGGTCAGCTTGTCAGGCTTGGCAGCAAGCACTTTTACCCACAGTTCTACCCAATGAGCCATCTCACTGGTCTGAGAATTAAGTAGAGGGCTGGGGAGGTCTGCATGTGAATTTTTCTGCAGGAGACAAGCTCCTCCTAGGGCTGGCACCAGGCTTAAGCCTTTTTCCCTAGTGTTGCTGGGCTTGGAGCCTGGGCAATAATAGTCCTAAAGTGACCTTGACCCAGAGGAAACATTCTACCTGTGTGTAGCTTTTTACTCTTTGTGGGGGGCCTGTCACCCAGTTCCCAGATAAATACTCGGAGACTTATTCTTACTTATGAATGCCTGGCTTAGCTTAGCTTATAACTACCCAGCTTTTCTTACCCTGTCTACCATTTGCCTCTGGATTTTTACCTTTTTCTATTCTATATTCCTTACTTTTCTTCTGATTTTGTGGCTGGTAGTGTGGCTGGGTGGCTGGCCCCTGGCGTCTTCTTCTCCTTCTCCTTTTCTTTCTCCTTTCTCCTTCTATTTATTCCTTCTACCTGGCAGCCCCACACATCCCTCTCCTGTCTACCTATTAGTCATTCAGCTCTTTGTTAGACCAATCAGGTGTTTTAGACAGCCGAAGTAACACAGTTTTACAGAGTTAAACACGTACAACATAATAGAATACAACACATCTTTGCACCATTAAACAAATGCTCCACAGCATGAACAAATGTAACACGTCTTAAACTAATATGCCACAACACCTGTGCACGCCTACCTTCTCGAGCTGTGCGACATCAAGGACCCCAGGAACCAGATGGTCTGTGTCCTGGTTTGCTTTCTGTTGCTGGGATAAACATCCCGATCAAAAACAAGTTGGAGAGGAAAGGGTTTGTTTGGTGCCCCCTTCCAGATCTCAGGCCATCAGTGAGGGAAGTCAGGCCAGAAACCCGAGCAGGAACCTAAAGCAGAAACTACAGAGGAGAAGGAGGGCTGCTTACTGGCTGGCTACTGCTCAACCAGCTTTCTTACACAGCTCAGGAGCCCCTGTCTAGAGATGGTGCCACCCACAGAAGGCTGGGCCCTCCTACATAGATTAGCATACCAATGGGCCAATCTCAATTCCTCAATTGAGACTCTAAGAGTTTCTTGACTTTGTACAGCTGACAGCTGAAACTACAAGAGTCTCAAAAATGAAATAGGAGCCTGCATTTGTTAGGAAGGTGCCTGAAGAGAGGGCTTGAAACTAGACCTAGACAGTTTCCTAAGGGAGAACATTGCTTCTCTCCAACTTTACTCTACAGCTCTCTTATGACTTGACCCTCCATCTGTATAAGATCATAATAGACAAAGGAGGCAGATTTAAAACAGATACATACACATGTGTACTCACATCACATGCACATACGTGCATACACACACAAACATGTTGCTTCCTTATAGATTTGCCCTACACAGTACAGTAGGGCCAGAGAACATTCCAGTTAGAGAATCAGCATATGCTTTAAACATAATAAGTTCTCCACAAATATTTGTTGAACAAAATGTGTTTTATCTGACTGATGAATGTTTTTCCCAAAAGAAAAGGATATGTAACACTCAAATCCTCACTCTTTTGAACAGTTGACCCCTGCCTTGAGTCTGTAGTTGCAATCAGGAGCACCCTCTAACTCCACTCAGAAACACCTGCTTGCCCATGGGAATATCTACATGTGGACTTTGCTTCTGAAGATTAGGGCAGAGTGAGTAAGCAGTGTCCTTACCCAGGTTAAGGACACTGGGTTGCAGCTGCTGAAGCATCACACCTGGTCTCTACACACAACTCCTCCCCCTTCCGGAGAGAAGACAGTGTGAGAAGCTGGGAGCTTCCCTGTGCAGAGTGGTGAGGGCATTGCAGGGCCTAATGCTTTGAAAATTACAGAGTGCAAACCCAAGCTAGACTTAACCACCACTGCAAAAATCAAATTAGGGGCAGGTCACCAGTTTGCAGTCCTGGACAGTCCAGAGCTGTCCCTGAGAAACTGGTGGCTGTGTCCCATGGAATAAGAGGGATTCATGTCCAGAGGCAGCCACAGTGTTCTTGTGCTCACTCTCTGGCAGAGCCCCCTTTGTACAGGCTGCCCTAACACATCCTGAGGGCCACGGCCTCTGGAGGGTCTATGCTCTTATTGGGGATTATTATTCAGAGAGCCAGGGAGGCTGAGGTCAGACAATCTTAGGATCTCTGTTCTTTCAAGACAATGTCTCCTACATTTACGTAAAAAGCAGGTGTTCTCTCTAGTACATGCCTTGTATTTCTTATTTGTCCTCAGGGGACAGCAGGCAGGCAGAGAGTGGCTCTATTTAGCCAGTCAGCTGTTAAGGCTGGCCAGCTTCTCCTAAGGAGAGGCATAGGGCATGATGATTCAATGACATTCTGAGGAACTCAGACCCTGGAGATGTGACCTGTGGAAACCCGGGTGTCATTTGGCTGTGCTTGCTGGCTCATTGATAGATTGGTTGATGACCTTTGGGCTGTTTCCACTTTTTTGGCCGGGGGCTGGAGCTCAGTTGATAAGAGTGCTTGCCGGGTTTGCATGGAGCTTTGACCCTTACAGTGCATAAACCTATAATCCCAGTCCCAGGGAGGTGGAGGCAGGAGGATCAGAAGTTCAAGGTCATCTTTAGCTACAGAGAGACTATGGAATGCTGGGTCTGTTTCTGTATGTGTATTTTCATTCCTCTTGGGTGTGTACATAACATAGGTGTGACCTTTCTGAGTCTTGAGTGTGAGTTTAACCAGGTTGTTCCCTAAATTCCAGTTCCCTACAATCCAGTCCAACAGGTAGGTGTGTGTGTGTGTGTGTGTGTGTGTGTGTGTGTGTGTGTGTGTGTGTGTGTGTGCGTATGCGTGTGCGTGTAACTCAAAGGACAACTTTCTGGAGCAGGTTTTCCCATGTGGGTCCAGGCAGGTTTTCAAGCGTGGCTTGGCAGCAGCAAGAGCTTTAACCCACTGAGCCATCTTGCCAGCCTCAAGAATTTAATCACAGTTTTCAGGTACCCACATTGAAACTTCTTTAAAAAAAAAACATACACACCCCTGCAATACAATCCAACCCGTCAATCTAGGCTATGTCCCTCACTCAAAAAGTTCCCCTGGGCCCTTCCCATCAACCCAGGGTTCCCTGAGCCGCTGATTTGATGGTTGGAGTCCTGGAGGTGAGCCTCACCTTGTCGCTAGGGTTGCTGTCTGTGGCTTGCTAGGCCTACATGCCTGTGTGGTCCTTTCATTCCTCCGGCCTGACTCACTTTGACGTCAGTAATGAGCTGTTCTTCTCTCAAGACCACCAGGGACAAAGCACGGAGGCTAATTCCCCCTCCGTCTGGGATTACAGGCAACCCCCAAACAAGATTTTTCTGTGCCCAAATCCAGAAAGATGAGAACAATGTGGACCAAAGAATCCCGTCCCCAGTGGTTGGAGTCTTCCTCAGACAAAAAAAAAAGCTTTTTGTTTTTTCCTTCTTCTCCCTGTCCTTCAAATATTGGCAGGGCTGGATTGGGCATCCCGTCTTTAGCTGGAGCCCCGGCATCCACCTCTGTGTCCCAGCATGGCTGCAGAGACGCCAGCTCCAGGCTGGTTAGGATGCAGGGCAGAGCAGGATGCAGGTGGAGTGACTAGGCAGAGCCAGTCTGCTGCAGTGCAGGGAGGCCGGCAGCCCAGACCAAGGGAGGGAGGACAGGGTGTACATGACTTGAATAGCCAAACACCAGCACCAGAGGCAGAAGCTCAGTCTGTTGGGGCCTGCTGGGCCCTCCAGAGTCACCCTCCCTAGTTGCTGGTCACTGATCTGGAGATGGTGTTCCACAGTCTCAAGACTCTCTAGAGCCAAGGAAAACCCCCAGATGGCAGCAAGAAACACATGCCTTGTAGGAAAGGCAGCTCAGAGTCTAGGTCTTCTGGGGGCTCCAAAGTGAAAGGGCAATCCCCCCAAGATCCCATGCCTGATCTTGGGTCCAAGGCTTTTGGACCCAAGAATCTGCATTTGTAGCTGGCACTCTGGGGGATTCTGGTTGTATTTCACCCTCTTCATCAAAAACTGGAGCCCAGAGACAGGTAGGGACCACTTCCAGATTGCACAGCAAGTTTGTAGAAAGCCTGAAGGATCCAGACCCAAAGCTCTGAAGTCACCCAGAATGCTGATGCAAGCCTCCAAGGAAGCCCTCTCAGTGGGGTGGAAAATGTTTTTCTACTTCCTATAGAATGCCAGCCTCCTGCTAACCAAGCAGGGCAGCATCTGTGACAGTGTGTCCCATGTGAATCTCCTGGGACATAGGAGCTATAGACATGCTTCCATCCTTTACAGCAGTCCCTTAGGGCAATGACCCCTGGAAGTCCAGGGAGGACCAGTAACTTCCTGAGTGAGTAAGAGTGATGATTGGGATATAACCGTAGGCCAGACACACTTGGGGCTTCATCTCAATGACATCCTTTTGCTCCAACCCTGGAAGGGACAGAAGTCACCGAGAAAGCTTCCTAGTCCTGGGCAGGCCAACAGAGCTTGAGGTGGTCCAGCCATTTTCTTTTTTTCTGATAGACAGACAAAAACATTTTAATTTAGGATTCCTCCAGGCTTGGACACTAGAAGCAATTTCTTTTTCCACTTCAGAGCATTTAAATCCAAAACCCTACAGTTGTCAACATTGTGCTTTGTCCATAGGCATATGGTTCTGTCATAGATTTGCTTGTTTTCCAGGGTGTTTATGTGCATGTGTGTGCACAAGAGCATGTGTATATATATATATATACATATATATATATATATATATATGTATGCATGTGTGAGTTCATGCTTGTGCATCCATGCGTGTGTGTATGTGTGCACGTGCACACACACATATATGTAAAATGTTTAGAGCCAAGTTCTCAACATTAGACTCATCCATGTGCTTCTTGAAAATTCTATTACTCAAGCTAAAAACCTATGTCAACTAAATTAGAGTCTCTAAGGGCAGTCTTGAGGGCAAGGTCTTTTGAGGCTACCCAGGTAGTCTGACGTTCAGTCAAGGCTGAGGATATATATCCAGTAGGATCTTGCTAAAATGCAGATTATGCATCTGGTAGTGGTGGGGGTTGGGTGGGGTTTTGGCTAAGGACCATGCTAAGGAGCAAGGGGATGCTGAGATATATAGGGAGCCAAGAGCCAGAAGTGGGTAACACATTGGTGATCCTTGTGGCCAGGAGAGAGCGGCTGGACAAAGGGTTGTGATCACACCTTTTAAAGGCTAGACTGCAGTCTCAGGACCTCTGTGCAGCAACTTTCTGCCTCCAGAACCATGTCTGCTTGTCCAGTACAGAGTCTAGCTCAAGTGGGCCTTAGACTATTTTGTAGAACGAAGGAATTACAGTTGTGAATACAGACATGACACAGCAATCAATAGTGACTAAGAGACACAGAGTGGGATGGGACAGGACCGTCTGTAGGCAGTGCACACACCACTGTGACCCAGCTCCTGAGGTGTAAGCTGTAGCCACACCCTCTGTCCAAGGCATGGCTGGGTGGCTTATAGGACAGTGCCAGAGCTGCATGCATGCCAAAGCAAACTTATGTCACTGAAAGTGAAGGTTGACTCCTATAGTCAGGAGGCCCAGGACAGGTAGCTTTTTTTTCCCCCCAAGACAGGGTTTCCCCTGTGTAGCTTTGGAGGCTATCCTGGAACTAGCTCTTGTAGACCAGGCTGGCCTTGAACTCACAGAGATCCGCCTGCCTCTGCCTCCCAAGTGCTGGGATTAAAGGCATGTGCCACCACCACTCTGCTCGCTCTTCAGGACAGGTAGCCTTAAACAAAACGGAAGCTGCTTTCTCTCTTGTCTATCATCCTGAAGAATTACAGCCCCAGTTATTTTCTGGCTGTCACAGGTACATACACAGTACACCTAGGAAGACCTTTCAGAGGGAAGCCATTTCCTCACACCCCACATAGCCACCATGGTGTCTTCTCCACCATGGTTGGCTGTCCCTCTGAAACCATGAGCTCCGATAAATCCTTCCTCCTTTGAACTATTATGCCTTTGCTTCAGGGTTTGAGGAAAGCTGACTAACCCATTGCTTCTGTGGCTCTTCTCACCCCAGGGAGAATGCACGAGAAAGTGCTACTACATCTTCGTGGTGGAGACCATATGTGTGGCCTGGTTCTCCCTGGAGTTCTGTCTGCGTTTTGCCCAGGCCCAGAACAAATGTCAGTTCTTCCGTGGGCCCCTGAATGTCATCGACATTCTAGCCATCTCCCCATACTATGTGTCTCTCGTGGTGTCTGAGGAATCTCCGGAGGCAGGCGAGAGGCTGAGTGGCAGCTCCTACCTGGAGAAAGTGGGGTTGGTACTGCGTGTTTTGCGGGCACTACGTATTCTCTACGTGATGCGCCTGGCCCGGCATTCGCTGGGGCTACAGACACTGGGCCTCACTGTGCGCCGCTGTGCCAGGGAGTTTGGCCTTCTGCTGCTCTTCCTGGGTGTGGCGGTCACCCTCTTTTCCCCTTTAGTCTATGTGGCTGAGAATGAATCTGGAAGGGTCCTAGAGTTCACCAGCATCCCCGCGTCCTACTGGTGGGCCATTATCTCCATGACCACGGTAGGCTATGGGGACATGGTCCCTCGCAGTGTTCCGGGCCAGATGGTGGCCCTGAGCAGCATTCTTAGTGGTATTCTCATTATGGCCTTCCCAGCTACATCCATCTTTCACACCTTCTCCCATTCCTACCTGGAACTGAAGCGAGAGCAGGAGCAGGTCCAGGCCCGCCTCCGCCGTCTTCAGAACACAAACTCAGCCAGCGAAAGGGAGCTCCTGAGTGATGTGGATGACCTGGTACCCGAGGGCCTGCCCTCTCCCATCCACTATGTGTAACTCCTACCACCTTAGGAATGCGCAGTAAGTTCAACCCATCCCATGACTGAGACAAGCTCCTGCACCCCTCTCTCCCGTGGACCATCTGTGGGTGTGTCCTCGGAATACTGACTGACCTCCAAAGCAGGAAAGGTGCCAGGCCATGCCACCATGGGTGTGATCCTGGGCGCATCCCTTGTCCTTTCCTCAGCTGCTTGCCAGATACTTGCACAGCCCATCTTGGCAGGCTGGATGAGTGTTCCTGTGTCCTCCCTTCCTTGCAAACTGTGATATTCCACCCTGGGTTCTGGATGGTCTTTGAACTAACCGCCACTAGTAGCCAAATACAGAATCTGCAGATTTCCATCGTCTCCCCCAGACCTCCTGGCAATTAGAGAACTCTAGCACTGAGACCTGCTCAAAGCTCCATGCATCCTGCAAGGCTTCCAGCAGGATCATGTGCTGTCTTAGTTCCTGCTACCGCCAACTGAATTTCCAGATGCTGTGGAAGTACCCACTGTTCTAGAAGCTCTTAGCCAAGAAGGCAGCTCTGGTCAGTACAGCAAATCCTGTCAGGGTCTCATGGTAGCAAACCTGCTGTCACTTATGATACACCTGGAGACTTGGGCTGCGGGGCCATCTGCAAGTACCCAGTTGGCCAACTGGACTCTTAGTGGACACTCTTTAGTTATGCAGTTCTTCGCCTTAACAGGGACACTCTGAGAACTGTACAATGTCCTTTCAGAGAACAACAGCACCAGGAGAAACCACAGCTTTCCATGATCAACTAAACACCACTGACACAGCTCAGCAGAACAGCCTTAGGCCTGCCTGGTTCTAGCTCCCACATCTGACCCCCGCTGATGGAAGTTGGGCATTCCTGATGTCTGTGTGTGTCCGAGTATCCACATGCTCATCTGTCAGCAGACTCGGCCCTTGGATCCACAGAGAAGGCAGTGTGCTGTGAACAAGACGGTCAGAGACGAAGCAGAAAGAAACAGAGACCTCTGAGCAGCCAATGCCCCAACGATCCCAAGGCATGGGGTCTAGTGTTGAGGGGCACGTAGGGGACCAGAGCAGTAAGGAGGCGATGGACCTCAGAGCCTCACAGAAGACAGCACTGTGGCTGTACTGGGGGTGAGGATGAGTATGACAGTCCAAACTGAAGTGGGAATGACCTCCATCCAGGAATGACCTGTGGGTTCACCTCCTTCACGTCACTACCAATCTGGCACAGACACAGCTTCACTGTCATTCGGTATTGGTGTTAAGGCCACTGGAGAAAGTACAAGGGACACAAATAAGTGACAGTAAGATAGACGGGGCCCTGTGAGTCTGAGTCATGTGCGTACAGGAAATACTGCAGCCCTGCTAACATGTGCCTGGTTGTGTTCTTCTGCCAGGATTGAGCTGAGCCCTGCTGTGTGCCAGGTTCACACTTCCCCTGACTGTAGCACATAGCTAATGATTTCCCAGAAAAGTCCCAACATCTAAACTAAAGTTCATCTTGTCCCTGTGAGAACTCTCACATCCTCTGACTCCGCCAACAGATGCACACAGTCTTACCAAGATCACATGTCTCAGGCAAGCCCTTTGTATCCCACTAGGAGAGCTGATGCCTTGGAGAGGCCCAAGGCATGCTGCTCTGCTTCAGGAATCAGACAGCAGAACCCTGGGGGTACCTGGATGTATTCTGGGAGCATTCCAAAAGTAGCTACATTAATCTTTTCCACCAGGCTAGTGCTTGTTTTGGGACAGGGTCTCACAGTGAGGTCCAGGCTATCTTTGAACATAAAATCCTCCTGGTTCAGCCTCCTGGCTCCCAAGCTAACATTTTTATAGCTGTTATTGGGCAAAACACTAAATAGTTTTTCTTTTATGCTCTTAGTGACTGACAGCATGGGTACCATCTGAGGCCTGGGGTTTTTACTCTGTCTATGACTGTGGGCAGGTCCCTGTGCCTCCCTGTAAACCATAGGGTTAGGTCAGATCTATGGTTCTCTAACTGAAGTTCCACAGAACACTCTTGGGAGCTGTTGTTGGGGAAACACCAGCCAAATGGGCAGAGGGCCCATTGGCCAATGATGATCACACACACAATCTAAAAGAATACAGAACTGTCTAGACAGCTCCTCTCCTCCAAGACAGGGCTATCCACAGACACAGATCTGAGGTGTTGAGCTCACCCTGGAACTAGAGAAGAAGCCACTGGGGACCTGGCCCCTTGTCAGATGTGCTCTTCTGACTGAAGACCTCATCTGCATCACATGCTTGGTGTGATGTTTCCCAGTAGTGTGCCTGGCTCTGACCAGGCATCTCCACAGTTCTCTGTGCCACCAAAACATACTAGGACAAAAAGAAAAGTTAAAGTCAGCATTGGCTGAACCCATCAAAAACCCTGAGTAGCTCTATTATCTGCACACATGCACCCAGTGAAAAAGACTTGGAAAATTGGAAGGGATGGCTTGATGTGGGCCTTCATTGAACACTTTCATTTTTTTCTCTTGGAAGATGGGTCTAAGTTGTTCAAGCGTGGCTTTGAATCCCTTTTGATGTGATTGGATGGAGTGTTGCAACAAGCATGTTGGTAGGTAGTATTTTCATCCCCATTGGTTGATAGGAGCCCAGTGATCCCCAGCTGCAGTGGCCATAGCCAAAGGGAACCCTTGACTTTGAGCCACCTTCAGGCTGTCAGAGATGTGGCTCCCATAGTGTTGACTGAAGGTCTTTCTAGCCACGCAGAGTTGAGCCCACCAGTAGGAAGATGAGTTAGTTCTTCAGTACAATGAAAGGAATTCAAAAAGGGTCCTGACTTGGTACTGTGTCAAGACCACAGGCTACTTCCATGGCCACCAGCAGTCCCATCAAAAGATGACCAGTGTGTGCCCAAAAGGCTAAATGTGTCTCTGGATGCAAATGCACTTCATAGGGTCGAGTGTTCAAACAGAGTAAAAGGAAAACTCTCCAAACAGAATAAAGAGCTCTAATGTCTATCAACTCCCTCTTGGAAGATGGAGAGACCAAAGTTCAGAGAGGGAAAACCACCTGCCTAAGGCCACACAGCTGGTTCATCTCATTGTATTCAAGTATTTTGACTCCTAGAAGAGCCCTTTCTAGTACATTCTGTCACCACCCTGGGCTCATGGGAAGCAGGGCCTGGCCTCAGAGAATATGCTTGATGAGGACAAGAAAGCAGCAGTTTGCTACACTGTCCTGAAGCAAGGGGCAGAGATATTGTGGAGTGTGCTGGGGACATTGTACAACAGGAGACGTGGGGATGGACTCGCTGGAGCTGCTCTTCCTCACATATCTCATGGAGATCCTGCAGGAGGTCATCACAGTCCCTCCAAGCATGGGCAACTAGGCTTCTGGGAACTTACTGCAACAGCTTCTAACCTGGAGGTGGTGGACTGGGAAGGCTGCACAGACAGGGATGCGACAGTCTGTGGACCTTTCACCGTCTTCCAAACCTGCCCACAGGGATCTTTTCCTGCCACCAGATTTCCATCACTCAGGTACCATACTACATCCTTCCCATGATGCACTGCATGCCCCCATTGTGTACTCTGCACATCTCCCACTCCTCATGTGACAGTGAACATTTTCTGGGTGGTCACATGTGACAGTGGACACTTCCTGGGTAGCCACTGACACTCAGCCTGTGGGTTTATAATACTTTGTGAGGAGATCATGTCAGGTGCCATGAGTCCCAGCAAATCCCACCCCTTCAAGAAGAAAGAGGAAGGGGGTCTACCACCAATGAGGGGCAGTTCCTTTCTTTGGGAGGTGATCCCAGGACATACCATAGAGTAGAAGCAGAGAAAGTGGGGAAGGGGCCAGGGAGAGCTGGCCTGGCCCAAAGATTGAAATAAAACAGTAACATTAGGCCTGCCTTCTGCTTGACTAGCCAGGCCAGGTAGAATGTTCCAACCTGAAGGACCTCTGTAAGGAGAACATACCTTTCTTGCAGGTAAAGGAGTCCCTAAGATGCAGCATCCCAAACCCTGGGCAGTTTCACAGATTGTAAAGTAGGACCTTAATAGTCTCAGGGTCCCACCTTTGCCTTTGCAAGTGTGGACAAAAAGGACCATCCAAGGAGGGGGTGTGACTTAGGAGGCAAACCACCAGGGCTGGCACAGCCAGGCTCAGCCCAGGCTCTGGACTCCCAGCTCTAGAGTTTCCAGCCCTGGGTGGCCTCCTCTCTGTCCAGGGCCTGTCTTTACGAAGCTTTGACACCTAGCCAAGGGGCACCTCCCGGAATACAATGTCAGTTAAAAATAAAACAAAAGGCACCAGCCCTGCCCTGCAGCAGCCTGCCTCTGAGGACACACAGGGAACTCAGAAGCACCACTTTGAGACTTGCTGTAAGGAGGACACAGCCAAGGGTGCACAAGGACCATGTGACACAACTTGGAACAGTGTGGGCCCTGAACTAAAAATAGCCTCCATTGTATTTGCAGTGACCTGCCTGATGCAGACCCCCGTGAGGCCTGAGGTGCCCCTGCACTTTCTGGGTGAGCTTTTGGGATCCTGCACATTTCTGAATTAAACATTAAATGACATTAAAAAGAGGTAGATGATGTCTCTGGTATCTCAGCGCCAGCCTAGTCACTGAGGGTCATCCTTGGTTCTCTGAGAGAAGGGTAGGAGGCAGGCCACCCATCCCAAGCCATCTGAAAGGCTTAAGTTGGAAGACAGGTAGGAGTCAAGTGTGGTGGCATCACTATAACCCTAGTACTCTGGAGGTGGAAGTGGGAATCTCATAAGTTCAAGAAAAGACTGGGCTCCACAGACAGTCTAACCAGCCTGAGCTACATAGAGACTCTGAGGCCAGCCTGGGATATATGGAGAATCCCAACTGGTCCTCCATGTCCACAAAGAGAATCTGTGGAGAAGCCTTGAGTAAGAGTGTGTGCAGCCCTGGCAACCACCCACCTCTGTAGAAAGTTGGAGCCAGGATCCCTTCACAGTCTCTCAAACCCCAGTAACCACCATTCAGGGAAAGGTGTGACCACAGGGAAAGCAGCCTCCATGCAGTGGTGTGATCCGACCTGCTCATTGTTGAGCTAGAGACCCTGGTGGTGGAGGTCCTGGACAGTTGTGTAGACACAGAAAAGCCAAGGGCTCACTAGACAAAATCACACTTCTCTTGTCTGGCTCTCTTGACCCAGGCAAATGGGAACAGCATCTACTGCTTTTTGAGAACACACCAGAAATCTCAGGGTGATCTGTTTCCAAGTTGAGGAAGTTCCATCTGGACTTCATTGGACAAACAAAAGGAACAGTGTTAGTTCTCAGAACTGAAAATCCAGGCAGACAAAAGGAGAGGTTCCATCCAGGGGTTCAGCCAACATCATCAGTATCAAACAAGCTTATTTTCACTTCATCTTCCCTCGTCTTTCTAGGTGTACTACCTTTACCCCTAGGCTTTCCTCCTGGCCACAAGATGGCTGTACCATCTCCAAATTTCACACTTCGGTTCCACCTGGCCCTGAAGAGCAAAAGCTCCCTTTATCCTAGAATCCCAGGCATGTCTTCTCAGTGGTCTTACGTGGGTTACACAGCACAGCCTTAACCTGACTACTTGGGGAGAAGGGGAGACACTGAAGAGATGGTTCAGGGGTTAAGAGCATTGGCTGCTCTTCCAGAGGTCCTGAGTTCAATTCCCAGCAACCACATGGTGGCTCACAACCCTCTATAATTTGATCTGGTGCCCTCTTCTGGCATGTACGTAGAACACTGTATACATAATAATAAAAAAAATCTTTAAAAAAAAATAAACCCTGACTACCATGGCACCAATTAGCTTATGAGGTTTTAGGCTCACCTGGAAGCAGAAGATAGACTCAATCACATACCTGACAATGGGAACAGTGAGCTGCTCCATAAGAAAGGGGAGAGTGTGGGGTGGTATCCAAGGATGAGGACCACAGTGCCCATCAGGGATGCTTGGCCCCATGCCCCATGCCTTCACATCTAATCACTTACCTTCACCACAGCCTCCTCCTGCTTTGTGAGGAAATGGAGGCACAAAGAGTTCAGGAAGATATCCTGAGGTCATCAGGTGATGGATTAAAGAATTAAGCCCAGCTCGTGTGATTCTAGCCTCTTGGCTCCTTACTGACTCCCAGAGCCCCTTCATCAAATGTGTGTCCCAGATGGTTGCCTCACCACAGACACAGAGTCAGCATCTCATTTTGTATGATGGACTGTAGAGCTAAAACTGCTTATAACAGTAACCAGTGTCTAGGGATGTAGCTCAATTGGTAGTTTGTCTGGTGTGCATAAAGCCTCAGGTTTGATTCCCAGAACTATGATACTAGGTGTGGAGGTCCATGGCTACAAGCCCAGCACTAGGACGCAGAGCCAGGAGGATCACCACAAGCGTGAAGTCAGCCAGGAATATATAGTGAGACCCTGTCCTAAAACAAAAACAAAACAAAGCAAAACAAAACAAAACAAAACAAAAACACCCACAAAACAAGCTATGAGCCCAGGGATGAAAATTTAAATCTACACAAAATCCTGGCCTAGATGCTTACAGCACTTTCATAATTGCTGAGATGTCCTTTAGTGGAGGAGTGGGTGGACACACACTGGTCCATGCTGGATGGAACACCCTGTTCAGTACTTTGAGGTGAGGTTGGGGGCGGAGGGACAGGGCAGGGGCATCTGGAAAGTCTACCTCTACCTAGTTCTGTTGTGAACCAGGGTCTTTCTTGACCTGGCACTTACTGATTTGACTAGGGAGTCCTAGGGATTTCCCTGCTTCTGCCTCTGCACTGCATGTGCTTTGCACATGGAGCTGTGTCCCAGCCCCTCTGAGTCCTGTTTAGAGCAGGTTCTGTTCTCACGCAGACACATTTCTGTGAAGAGACCCTGCAGTGCTAGTTTTCTGCTCACAGCTTGTCTGTGCTCTGCCCCCTCAGTGCAGGAGACAATGACAATTCCCTCTAGGATTGATGGCAGACAGGACCAGAAGACGGTCAGGAACCAAGAACAGCCCCATCTACTCCTGGCTGAATCCCAGCTTGCTGGATGGCTGAGACTCACATTCACTTGCCATATGAGGAACTAGAAAGGCAGAGGGGAGCCTTGGTCCCCTGAGTCCATGCTTCTACCTAGGTGCCTACTGTGCCACTCAAATGAAGATGAAGCCCAGAGACAGCATTGTGCAGAGCCTGCAGAGGTCCAGAAAAGTTCCCACAGGCTAGGACTGTAGGGAAGGGGGCAGGACGTTGAAGAAGGCACCCAGGAAGCCTTGCAGGAGTGTACTGGGATGATAGCTCCAATTTGAATATGCTACTGTCAGCAAAACTTCACCCAGGCGGATCAGGCCAAGAAGACATCAACAGACCGTCACCCCGAGATAGTGCAGTAAGAGAGTTAGGCAGATACTGTGTAACGAAGAGGCTGACTGGGGAGGCAAGGATCAGCAGGCCCATAGATACAGCCAAGGGACAAAGAGTACTTCTTGGCAGATCACAGCAGAGTTAATGTCATTTTTGAACAACTTGTTTACTCAGGGACATAAAACCAAAGCACAGTGACTGATCCATTTCTGGGCCTGGCTGCTATCACCACTGCGGCAGGAATAGTCAATCAACTTAAGTTGTCTCCTGGGGTAAATAGTGGGCAGTTAAGTGGGCTAATGAATAGACATGGGGTTTCCAGAACTCTCATCTCTGGAAAATTATAAGCATGAGAAAAGATTTCAAAAGTGACAAGAAAAAGGTTACCAGCTTTCTTGTGTCCCCTCTCTCAGCAAGAGGCTCCCCAAGGCCTTTACCTTGTGGGCCCCTCTGATGTAGCCCTTCCTACTTTCCCGCCTGCTCTCTGACCTTTTCTTACCCCGATGACCCTGGCTCTACCTGTGGCCTCCTCAAGCGTGCGGACCTGACTGGCAGGGGATGCTGATCTCCACAGAAGTCAGGAGCTGCAGAGCAAAGGCAGGGACAGCTGAGCCAGGAGGAGACTAATAATGACCTCACCCAGTCCTCTTTTTATAGATCAGCAAAATAGGACTCACAGAGGTCAAGCCAAATTCAAGAGCATGGAAAATAATCCAGCAGCCCTGGCTGGCTGCCGAGATGGGAGAGTATGGACGACAGTGGGCAGCCCTCACTGCGTTCTTCCAGAAGGCCGGCCAGAGATGACCACATCTCTCCTGCAGCCTGCTGGTCAAACATGAGGGCCTAAGCTGTCCCCAGCACCTAGAGACAGTGAGATGGCTCAGTAGGCAGAGATGCCTGCCTTCAAATCCAGTGACCTAAGTTCAGTTCCCCAGATCCACATGGTAGAAGAGAATCAACTTCCTGAAAGCTGCTCTCTGACTTCCACTTGTGGGACGGCATGCGTAGGCCCCACCCCCACATCCATCCATCCATCCATCCATCCATCCATCCATCCATCCAATTTTACTTTAAAAAAATTAAAGCTTTGTAGCAGTGTCTGCACTAGGGAGTGGAGACAGGAGGGTCCCAGGGGCTCAATGGCCAGCCAGCCCAGACCAGTCACAGAACCCCAGGACTACATAAGAGACCCTGTCTCAAAACATGGTGGAAGCGATTGAGGAAGACATCCAGTGTCAACCTGTGGCCTCCCCTGCATCTGCACACATGCCTTCCCACACACAAAGAATACACTTGTCTTCTAGATCTGGGCAGAGACACTTCATTTAAAATAACTCTCAGTTCCACCCATTTTCCTGCAAATGCCATTTTATTGTTCTTCCTGGCTACACACAATTCCATTGTGTCTATGTACTGCACTTTCATTATCCATTCTTCAGTTGTCAGACATCTAGACTGGCTCCGTTTCCTGATTATTGTGAATAGAGCAGCGATGAACCCGGACATGCAGGTCTCTCTGTGAAAGACTCACTCTTGGGTAAATACTCAGTGTACAGCTGGCCTGTACAGAAGTTGTTTTTAGAAAAACCACTACACTGATTTCCTTAGTAGCTGCGGAAATTTTCAATCCCAGAGGGACTAAAGGTATGCTTGGGGAAGGGTTAAAAAGACAAAAAGGCAAAATACAAGTAACAGGAAGGGCAGGGTGGGGTAGGGGGATTGGACCAACAGGTGGACATAGGGCTGTGGGAGGAGAGGATCAACCAACCAATCACCTTTTACATACAGCCTAAAACTAAAACTATTAAAATATATCACAGTATCCCCATATAACTAATTCACAACCTGGCATGATGGAAACTAGGCCTGCCGTATGGCTCTACCATGGAGTTTCGCCTCCTGCATGCTTCAGCGCCTCAGAATTACCTTAACACAGAAAGAGGCATGAAAAATATAAAATAGAGGTCATGCTGGGTCGTTCAGGAAATCATAGAATCTATGAATCAGGTACACATGTATTTTTCTACCATAGGTATTTTGGTCTGCTGCCATTTGACTCTGCAGATGCCTGACCTCTGGTCACAGGGACTAGCATCACTCTCCACAAGTCTACTAGTGTGCATACAGGCTTAGAGACTGACCATGAGGACTAGGGTGGAGAGAAAGCCCAGGCTGACCCTGAATGACAGCTCCGGTAGGAGTCATCAGTTGATGGTC